GAATGTTGACAAGTTTATAAAGGTCTACAATAGTAGCAAATTTATTCTTATTTCTATTAAATTTAATATTTTTAATTTATTTTTCTTCTCTCTCTACAATATACAACTTTAATAAATCTATAAGTCTAATTAGAAAAAGATAATCTATAATATCTAATATCAAATAAAAAAATACAAAAAAGAGTAGTCCACTCTTTTTGAGAAAAGAATTTTAAAAAAAAAACAAAACAAAACAAAACAAAACAAAACAAAAAATAAATAAAAACAAAAAAATATTAGTTTAAAGATAAATGCATACAACCTTTAAAATACAATAATAAGAAGTGAAATAATCAACTCACTTCTAAAATAAAAAATATATAATAAATTAGTAATTTTTTCAAATTATCAAGGATATAAATGATAACAAAAATTTAAAGAAGTAATAAATTTTTATGATATATATATATAAAAGACAAATAAAAAAATATATATAAAATAGAAATTAGAATAATTATTGCTAAATACAAAGAAATTATGGATTCTTGAACTAAGATAAAAACACAAAAAAGGTATTGACAAAAGTGAAGAAGACTTTATTCTTGCCTGTAAATATACTATTTAACTAAAGAATTACTTCACAATGTTCTATGAGTCATCCAACACATGTTCAATTTGTAAAACATGTGTCTAATTTATAAGGCAAGTTTTCAATATGTATGCCACATGGCCAACATGTACTACAAATGGTCAACATGTACAACATGCAACCAACTTATAAGCCAATTATTTAATATACTAATTACTTATAAGTACTTATAAAGTAATTTTATATATTTATATTTATATTTATTTATGTTATTTTTTATTTTATATATATATATATATATATGCTCATAAAGTACTTTATTAATAAATATTTTATTAAAACAAATCATATATGACTTCTACAAATCAATCTTTAAACTAAATTCTACATGAATATTAAGCAATTGTTTATTATTTATAAGAAATTGAACCAATATAATGATTCTCTCTTCACTTCTTGCTTGTATATTGCCTTCAAGTTTGAGAGCAATATGCAAATAATTGATGAAGATAAAATCCTTGTTTAATCAAATAATATTTTAATTTTTAGACTTAGATGTCTATATTTAAGGCTAATTTATATGGTAGGGGTAGGTCTTTAAAAGCATGAGGTCTTGAGATTGATTCTAAGAAATTAAATTAACTAGAGTGCTTAATACATTAATTAGTTGAATAATGATATATTATTTTAAAACCTCAGGAAACATCTAGAGCGCATTCAATCTGCTACGGGGCATTAGTAGTAGACTGTTGGAGGCTGACCTCTATTATTGGCTCATGCGTTTTATATATTTGAATCGCATTCTCTAGTTAATAGGCAGCCCGTGCTGTTGGCACCACAAGCCGAGCAATGTTATGTTTACAAACAAACAAACAAATGAAGGATAGCAGGAAATGAGTTCCATTTGAGAGGCACAGAATCAATCTGAGGAACACGTGACCAGATCACGAATTCGTGGAGCCCTTCAATTATCAAAGTAACGTCTGCGGGGAGTAACGCGAGGTAGCATATGTATCCAAAAGTGATCTGGTAGCCCAAATCCTCCAATTGATCATTTGCCATACCCTCTTCAGTTCCTGAGGACAACATTTGAGATATTACTGTTAAGAGATTGAAAATACCAAATGACAGACAGAACGCACATGCGATCTCCGAAGCTCCAGTGCCGGGATTAAAACACATTGTGTGAAATCCAAGCACTTTGCAATGCACCTGGTACTAGGATCTTCGACCCTGCAGCATGTTATGAATTAAAATACCCGAAACATACTCGTGTTGAGTTGACACTAATGTCATTCCTGAAAAATGAACAGAACATACTATCAGCTAACAGATTGCAATCTGTTAGCTGATAGTATGTTCTGTTTTATCAATCTAAAAAGGTGAAGCTAGACGACGAAAGAAACACCTTGTGTGCCGACATGCATAAATAGTGATAACTCACCCTCACAATGCGGCACTGATGTGCCGAGAAATCACCTCTAGTATAAAAGAGCACCTAAAAAAAGTACAAGCACAATCTGATATAGACTAAGTAAAGATCAATAAATATTTGCGCGAGCTGAACCCGACATAAAGTACTCAAACGTTCAATCCTCTCAACACTCTTTCTGAATTTCCATTCCTCGATGTCCTGATAAGAAGCAAGTGCCGATCTCCAAACACTTCAATAAACTGCTATTCTTAGAAACTCCGTCAACTAAAGAACATAGAGACCGGGACACGCCTTGCAGACACAAAATTCCAGGTAGCAAGAATGCGAGTTAAAGAAATTCAAGGAACACGGTGACGAACTGTAACGACAACGAATTGCAAGGAACACTGTGACAAACTGTAACGACGTCGAATTGAATAGTGAGCTCCCGCGACATTCAGTAACTCCCCGTAAGGATTTAACGTTCGTCGCCATTTTGAAACCAAGCTCAGTCGCTACATAAATGGATGATATATATCATTCATCGTAAAAATGAAAAAATACATCTCCTCGTGGAGCGTGGAGTCGAGGTCGGTTTGACGACATCTATCTTATTGTTTATTCATAGGGCACTGTAATTCATTCGTGGGTTAGCATTTGGGGTTCGCAACCGGGCTTCGTCAGAGCGTGAAAGATACGGGAAATCTCAGGAGGGATCAGCGGTTCGACGCTTGAAGGGAGATGATGGAGGGGCAGGGGAAGAGCAGATCTGTCAGTTGAGTGGTTCATGATTCCAGCATCATTAAGATTGATTGCCGCAACGAGAGACAGTTGCGTCGTCAAGCTCACGATGGTTTTCGTCGCTGTTTGCATGGGCAACGGGCAACGGGCAACCGCCGGCAGCCTTCGAAACATTCTCAGTTCAGCGCACCGCTTCATGCCTTCTCAGTTTTTTCGCATCAGTCTGTAAAACTTCACGTGAAAGTTGACAACGGTGAATGATTTTTCCGTTTTGGCCAGGTCACTAGTAGTTTGATTCTCTTGTACCCTGAGGGTGTTGCCACAGCTTCGATTAAAACCTGGTTTGAAGAATGTGAGTATTAGTGGTGCTGGGATTCGTCAATGTCATGTGTCCACCTACCGACCATTCATAGCAGGGCAACTATGAATCCATTCTGGCACTCAGAAAGTTGTGTTTTAGATGTTGCAGTGGTCAATGTTATTAAGACCATTCTACTGACTTGGCCAAATCTCACAATCACTTATTTACATTATAGAAATTTCTTTACTTTATCTCTGTTTTTAGGTGTTGAGAGGAGGAAGGGTTGGTAGTAGTAGTTTATTGTTCCATCTACTAATATAAATACCCGTAATTTATGTATGCATGAGCAAGTATGCATGTAGAATCATTTTAGCTGTTGGAATGCTCACAGGCATGTAGGATTAACACATGGAGCAGCCTGACAGTATATGACAGGCTTTTGCTACCCTTGATATGGAGAAGCACTATGTCAAGGAGAAGCTCGGCAGTGTTCTGATTTTGCTGGCTGTGGGACTGTGGACAGATGCATTTGGAGGCCTCTTCCAATCATGTATTAAGTGCTCCACCCTGTAGCTATCATTGTGCAGGTTGTGGTCTCAGCCTTGTGTTGCATTTCTCTTTATAATACATTTTAGGGATTCTGACACGTGCAATGGCTAGAGGATCCTAACAAAGCAGTGTGCAGGTTTTTCACTCAATAATTAATAAACAGATGTATGCTTTCCACCACTTTTAAACTGAGACCACAAATTCAAGTCGTGCTGAAGTCCCAGTTTCAATTTTGAACTATCACATCAAGAATCATTTGCAAGCCAGTATGTTGGCAGATCAGCCTGTAATCTTCCCTTGAGAGAAAGAGAAAACTTGACTAATATTGTCATCCATGTGATTTTAGCTGTGGCAGCCCTCATTTCAAGCCATTGATCTGGTTGCAAACTAAGTTTTGGAAAGTAAATCTACACATCAGTAAACCACCTTGCATTGTTCCTGAGGACTTTTCCTTGGTTCCGCTTCATCTCCCTGTAAACAGTATGATAATAGTATGTGATTGTGTTTGCCAGAAATGGTTCTAAGCTGTGCCTCTGAGACTCCATGACTGTACCAGTGGCACAGATTCAGAGTGGCCCATGTTGAGCAAGCACAAGGTCCCTGACCCACTCATGTGAGGAAAGTACTGCCACCAACTAAATTGTCCTCCAATGGGACAAATATTGTGGTCATCAGCATCTAAGTAGACCGAAAAATGAACAAAAACTCTCTGAGTCTGCTATCCCTTATACTTCACGTCCTGTTCTCTTTTCGATATCATCAAGATTAGGTCACTCAAAAGCCCTTCATAAGTTAAGCTTATGATTTATATTCAAAGGAAACATGGTCACACATGAACCATATCCCAATATATTTAGATATCCCAATTGGAGGTCTACAGATTTGTGTGTAGCCGTTCCAACAAATCACAGAAGAGATGCCTGACAGCATTAATTTCTTCGACATCTTCAGCTCTTGTTTTGTCATCAGAAACGAAAACATGCTATCAAACGTGAACACCGTCCACTGCGTTCCATGGTGAAACTGAAGCGGTCTATTTGAAAGATTTTAATAATTAAATTTCACATTCTAGAACTACCAAAGGATAAATAATGTAACAAAACCGTTGTAAACTTTCATTTTTTAAAAAAAACAAAACATGAGCGAAAAAAGGAGTATCTAAAGAAATGGATGGACAAAAATGAATCACGACACCCTAATCTTAGGTTAAATGCACCCTGAACAATACACACATAAACTTATCGAGTTTTAGTATGAAGTGTGTCTTGGCTGGAATTTAATCACAAATCCATTACACTAAGTTCATACACCTGACCGCACTACAATACCTGGTGACCAGGCAAAGGAAGTCCAATGTAAATGAAAACAAATACTCTTGCAAGTTGCAAAACCGACCATAACAGGTAATAGCTGCGTGTAAAACATAGTTTCCTTGCAAAAGAGACCCCTGTGATATTTAATTAGCACATACGCGAATGCACCATACAAATATGAAAACCAGAGGCATTTGCACATACTGGCCATGTCAGCGCTGGCATACATGGTTGGAAAATGTTGACAGGCGAGTCTGGAACAGAAAGAGAGCAAGACTATTCATATTGTGTTTATTCACCCTTTATAAATCCTTGCCCCATCTCAGAACGCAACCCCTGAACTGCACTCTGCGACAACCATGCTCTGTTGCTTTCCTCCGCCAACCTCCAGGGCCTCCTGTGCATAGTAATCTTTACATGGGTTGAATCCCTACTCTCTCAATCCACTACAACATACCACATAGCACCCACGCATTCTCACATTCCTCGAAAATTTCTGTTATAGCACTGTGCATACCACAGCTACGCCTAAGGTGGAGCGAAGCCACGACCATTAATCGCTCGGGAGGGGGTTGGGTGGGGGGGATGTCCCTCTTGCAGCCACTGCAGGATCGTTACCGTCTCACGCGAATTCCTGAGACCGCCTCACAATCCTCCTCACCTTGCGCTGGAACTCGTCCCTTTGCTCTCGCCATTCCTTGGCGGCATCGACATTCGCGGGTGACTCATCATTCGGGTTCGAAAGCATGGCGATGATGCTGATCAATATCGTCTCCACGGTGTGCACAGGCGACCACCGCTCGCTCGCCAGCTCGTACCCATTGGGATCGTCACCGGGAGCATGCAGAATGGAGATGCACACGCGCCCATCAGGGTACACGTTCGGATGCCACATCTCGGAGGTGAACCTAACGGTTGGAGGGCTGTTGGGGTAATCCGGAGGGAAGCTCATGATGGCGTTGAAGAAACCCCCCTCGTACAAAGTCTCCGACGGTCCGATAATGGTCACGTTCCATTCGAACACACTCGAGTCGTCCACAAGCCCAGCCGAGAACCCATCCACGGGATTCCTAGACAAATCCTTCAACTGCTTCCGCAACAGAAGACTCGCCTGGTTCTCCGCCATAGCCGCGCAGCAGGTGCTCCAACGAACCCGCGTTCCCACTAACAAACCCAAACCCAAACCCACACAGACTCCACAACACCCGGCCAAACCCAAGCGCACACACTCAGCGCGACCCAATCACTCGCGACACGCTTTCACCCGCTGACAAACACAGCAAATTGAAGGCAGGCGGCGATCCAGGGAGAGGAAGGAGGGAGGGAGGGGATTGAGAGGGCACACCGCCTTACGAGGCCGAGGCAGCGGAGGAGGAGGAGGAGGAAGAAGAGGGAGGGAGGGAGGGAGGGAGAAGCGGAGGAAGAGGGTGTTGCGTGGGTGTGAGAGGGTGTGTATCTGGGTGCCGAGAGAGCACAACAGAGCAGTGCAGAGGGTGATGCCTGTGCTGGAGTGTGGCCAAGGCAACGAAACCTAGAACGTTCTGAGGACGAGGACCAGCACGAGTTGGAGGTCGGCTGAGCCTGCCTATTATTACTCTCACACAC